CCCCCCAATCAGAAGTGTTCTGACCTCTGGGTTTAGTGAATTATTTTCAGATGATTTTGTTGATAGCAAAATGTGTGTGAATCCATCTTGTTTCCTGACAACAATGTCTCTGTACCGGTATGCACTCTCCGTTTGTCTCACGCTGAAACGTAGCCTTTTATCAAAAGGCTGATCTCTCCTGTCATCAATAAACCTTCGTTTGCTGGCTGTCACTCCTGTTACAGATGTCTGTATGTTGGTTGTACCATTGGCTGCTAATGCTTCCATAAAGGTGGATGTACCTGGAAATATTTTAAACAATAACATTCTATTAATTACATTTTATTAGCTCAGCAGTTTCAAAAATCCCTATTAGCATGAAGACATGCTAGTCATATTAAGAACACACAGTAAATAGGAAATTCAGTCCCCTGGAAGTTACTGAAATGTTACACAAATAGACACTGTGCACAGAACAAAATTAAAGTGACAAAGGGATCCATGAAATTCATTTTACAGTTGTGAGAAAATACATTTTAAACAAGCCAAACTGACCAATCATCATATATTTTTAGGAGAGAAAGGTTTATTTAACTTTCCTAATGGCAATGCACTTCAGTAAGTTAATGCCCTTTCTCCCTTTCCAACATCTTAAAGTTGTCTAACAGCATCAAGATTGCAAAGAGAAAGCAGAAGCCTTTTGTTTCAAACGCCACGAGAAATTAATATACTGAAGAAAACGACACTTAGAATAAGCCAAATAAAGAATTTGATTGACAAGATCATATAAAGCATAACAGTCTTTAAGGGAAAATGGAAATGAAGAAATACAGACTATAATTCTGTGAGAGGGGAAACAAGACTCATGCAGTGATGGATATTTTAATGAATTCATAGACAATGAGATATTTCTCAAGTCTAAACAATTTTTGCTATTAGAACTGGCAAATAGAGCATTATGTGTTTCTGGTCTTGTTCCCAGTCACTTAAATGGACAGAATTTGAAGGCATGCAAGTAAACAGCCATTCCTCATGACATAGAAGGGACAGGTTTTTCTGTACTCCACATTAGAAACACAATGCCAAATAACTAGAATTCATCAGAGGAAAATCAGAGAACATCTTTGATCTATAATCCATCTTTATGTTAAAGTCTCCATTTAAAATCTCCACAAAATCTGTCAGATTAAAGTAATGGAGTATGTTTAAGGGAGGGGACAGTAGGGTTACAAATGTTGGAATAATGTGTTACAGGCTGAGAGAGGAAAGTTTTGAAAGCCTTTTCCTGAAAACTGAGGTCTAAGACTTTGTTAAAATCTAATGGAAACCCACAGCCCTTATTGCACAAACTTCAGAACATCATGCATATGTCTTAAAAAGTACAGTTAAATCATGTATAAGTTGTTAATTAAATGCCATTGATGGATCTTGCTTAATTTGTCATTATCCTTCTGAAGAAGCTAAATTTTTAAAGTTCTAATAACAGGTAATGCTATGCTTATAAGTTTATTTTTTTTACAAGATACTTCAAACACACATGGGTCCAATGAAGACATTAAACAGCCTCACCTAAATAAGTGGAATATGCTATATCTCCACATTTTAACTTTATTCAAGTGTAGCTTACTATGAACCATATGAAGTATGAGAGAGATATTAAGACTAACGAAATTAAAATTTATAACATTATACATTTTTCTGTGTTTCAGAGACTGCCTTCAGATATAAATGAATTCTTTATACCAAATATTTTAACATATTTGATTATAAATCTGTTATGATTAATTAGGCAAGTTGTCTGACAAGCCATAAACCAGTAAGGTTTTATTTTACTTTTTAAAAGTCTTTCTTGATGTATTAGTGACTTAATCCTCTTACCATATCACTATTTGTGAAGTTAAAGACAACTCAAGATTTTTTTAAACTGTTTAAAGTGAAGAGTAAGAAACTGAATTCAGTTTGTGATGACTCTCAGAGACAGAGGTGAACAAAAATGAAATGGAAAATTAATATTTTATATAGTCACAGAAGTTCTACATTTATTCCTAAATTTTTCACGGCTTATCAAATTCCTTTTTCGTTTCAGCAGAATAAATAAAAATTTGATGCATAACAAATATGAAATAGATGAGGGATGCTTTTGATACTTTTCCCTTGTAAACCACACTATGTTGATTCCTCTCCTACAAAAGAATTCCCTGCGAAGGGAATTTGCAGGAACACCACTGCCGCCCCATATTTCATTAGCAATACAAGACAAAATGGTATCACTGGCCAGAATGGTTTGTTTTTCCATAGGTAAGGTAAATTAAAACAATGGAAGTCACCTCTGATTTCTAAACCCTGATGTAAGATTCTGTCCTAGCCAATAGTGACAAAAGTGGAGAACCAGGAGAGTACAATAGACTAGACTAAGCCAAAAGAGTCAGTAAACTTGTGTAAGAGCTTTGAGTAGATCTTTTCCAATGACCTGTACTTCCAAAGGCATACTCAAATACCAGAAAATTACTATTGAGATGGAAGAGGCAATGATTATATGCTTTGAGAGACAAAACATTTGGCAAGAGAGACCAATATGTAAACACCACACGCTACTTTTCATGTTTATTGAATTGGCAAGAGACCTTCTGAGTTTTTATGTAAACTCTGTCTGCACTTGTCAATAGTTGCAATTTCAAACCACAAACAAGGGACAGCTGCAGTTCAGTGGAAGAAGTCTCCTACATCGAATCTTGTAAATATGCTTTTAGGATACTTAGACTGGAATCAAAAACCTGTTGGCTTTAGAAACTGTACCTCTGTGCAGGGAGATTCGGCCAGCTGGTACGAATTAGTAAACGGCACAAACAACTAAAATACATTCATTAGTAATGTTTGTCATTGTCACTGTAAATTTGTGACCTTCTACACCATAAAGCATAGGGGGCTCTTTCTTTTAGCATCTGGTCCACAAAAGTGAAGAGACATTCTTGGCCATGTGTTGCAGCAAATGATGAAAATAAAAAAATAAAGTGCCAGAGAGGATTAACTGTATTTCTATAGATTTCCTCACATGAAGATTTTGCACTGAGGTTACTTATTTTCAGGTTAATTACAACTGTATTTTACAATTTTGAAATACAGATTTCATAACAAACAAAAGCAGTTTAATACATTAATGGACACAGCATAGCAAAGACACACAAAATACCACAGCCTTCTCCTTTCAAACTGAGCCTTCCAAAAACAGTAAGGGCTTGGAAAAAAGACAATTTACCCTGGATATTGTCAACTAATGCAGAAATTGGTTTAAGAGGTAAACATCTCTTCTAGTCAAAAAAAAATCCCAACTGCAAACTGTTAACGCAACGTGATCTTCTCAAAGGTGAAGACATACTACTGCTGCGCAAAGCTTCACCATACAGATGCAAAATAAAATTAAGAGAACTGCTTGGTTTTGCAGCTGCTGATCAAAACTTGGTAATAGTCACCATTTTCATGCAGCTGCTCTTAGAGAAAAAAAAAAAACAAACAACAACCTACGGGCAACGAAAGGAACTGGTCTTATTCAAAAGGAAAACAGATGCAAAATACATAAGTTGGAAAAGGGGCAGAACAGCAAAGGTATCGTCATCCCCATTCCGCTGGCAAAAGACAGAAAAAAGCCACCTCACCAAAATCTGAGGGGGATAACAGTTAAAACGCACAATGCCAGACATCTAGATAAACAGAGTTAAAATCAAAACAAGTAACACACAACCTCACAACAATCCAAAAGTTAATATACCAAGCTCCTTCTCCAAGCTATTCATGCCTCACTGTTACTGTCTCCCAAATTCTTGAGAAGTTCTGTTTAGCTTACATAGCAAGCCTTGAATACAAACACTCCCCTCCCTGCAACAACACTGGGGACACATCCAAAAAGGTGCTGCAGAAGCAGCCAAGCCTCTTTTTGCATGCTTCTTTTTGAGTACACATGCACTAGCAGTGGTGGTCTGAATTCAAAGGTTTGTCTGACAGAGTATGCTGTTTCAGAAAGGCTTAGCACAGGTGTCTAAGGAACAAGCATAAGAAGATATGAGGTGTGAAGGATGTTACCTGAGTATCTTCCTCAACTCCAGGCACCAGAAATTCAGTGAATCCTAAAATTTGCGTGCCCAGAACCATAGGCCACACCCAAACCCATGTAATTAAATCCTTATCCCCCATAGGATTATTCCATTTACTTTTGAAACCACTATGGTCTTCCAAAGTATCTTTTGGCAGTAAATTCTGCAACATATATCTTTACTTTCTTCATCCTTTTCATCACATCCCTTCTCCAGATTGATTAGTCCCAATCTTCTTTACCCTTTCATCTTCCAGAAGCCAGCCCAAGGCTGTCATTCTTCTCCACGCCTCTTCCTCTTCTACTAAATCTTGGAACAGGGTCCAAAATGGCACAAAATGTTTAAAATGGGGATTTATAACATGGCGTATTCAAATCCTCTTTTGTCCTCTACTCCTTTTCCATAATATTTTCTAAAAATTTTTGTTGAATTTTTCTTTTTTATTCTTTTTTTTTTAAACTAGCACTGAGCAGGTGTTTGCAGAAAACTACCCAGAACAAACGCAATGCCCTTTTCCTAAGCAGTAACACGTAGTCATGAACCAGTCATTGTCCAGGCATGGTTTTATGTTTTGCTATAGGCATAGTTTTGCATAAAAGTCCGTTTTGTCCCTTCCTCATTGCTTGGCATTCATCTGTGCTGAAAGTAATCTCATTTTAATCACAAAATCACTCAGTATTTTCAGATAAGCCTGTGGTGCTCACAAGGAGTTTCAGAGACCCTCATGCCTTTCCTGTACACTCACACACCAACCATGTCCTCTCCTACACCGGGAGAAGCATCCCACTTGAATAAGCAAATGAACAAACACCAGCAGCAACAATTTCTTAAAGTGTTAACTGCAAAAATAACATTGTAACTGGTTACAACTCCAGTACTGCAGAGGGGAAAAAATCTGATCTGCAAAATTGATTGGGAAAAAATTTAAATATAAAATTAAAAAAAAAAAAAAGTCAGTGCTAGAAGGAAGTTTTTCCAAAGTCCTTCCTATGCTTTCCCTGGTTTAGTCCCCTGTATATATATAATCCTCAAGACTTCACATCAGTTGTACAGTGCAGTTGCCTCATGTTCCCTTTTTGCCTACAAAGAGTGGTGGTTTACATGTTCGTATGTACTAGCAAGCTTTAACTCTAAATACTGTTAAGCTTTTCCAGTCTTAACTCTGCACTACATCAAATATTTTACACAATGAGACACCAACCCCAGACAGTGAT